GATATTATAATATCATTGAATTCAAATGTAATACCATAAATTATACAGTGACCCACTTGTAACCTACTGTACAGCAGAGCGACACCCACTTGCCTACCTTTTTTTGATTTGCATTTTAAGGTCAAATTTTGACAAAATACGTAAAAATCAAGAAAATGTGCAAATTATTTTGAGTTGGAAATTCATAATACATTTTTTTAATCTTAGATTTGTAAATGTAATACAAGACTCCTTATAAGTTTTTCTACCTTTATCAACTAAAAAGTGTCTACTTGAAAGTCAAATTAAGTGTTTAAGAACGTTAGTAGATCAAATCTTTACAACATTCGATATTTACTCGTTAGCGATTTTCTTATTCTTTTGTAATTCAAAAACGAGTAGCTGTAGACACTTTAAATTTACACCATATGTTTCTATGTTTATTTTATCATTTTCTATAATATAAAATTTCTTAAATATTTTAATGTTTCGAGTTGTATATGAACATTTTCAATTTTCAATTAGTTTCGTTTTTATTCTATAAATGTCAATTTTATTTTATTTGTTTGGTGTAAAAACTAGAAAATTTAATTCAAGGCGCCTCACACTTTGTTACAATATCAGCTTAGAAATACATATGCATGGATTGTGTGTATTAGCATATAATGTGTTTTGTAGGTATTTGAAAATATATAAAATGTTCAATTATTAGCTAAGGTTTCAAATATGTAAAATAAAGTTTCTTACAGGTATTTCAAAAAATCTAAAAAATATACTTTCACATTTTTTTTTAATTGATATTTTAAGTTGAAATTTGGAGGAAATTAGTTATTTAAGCGAATAATACATACCTAACAATTTAAGTTATTTTGTTGTGATTTAAAAATACAAAATACAGCTTTTTCAATACAATGTTTTCGGCAAAAATGTATTCAACCTACAAGTAAAATAATTTACATTAATAGCAAAAATATATAATATAAAATTGTATTTATTTTATTTTGTTGTAATTAAGAAACGAATGACTGTAGATACTTGAAAATTTAACTGAATGTTTATATTAGCATTTCCTATACACCACACAATTTTGAAAATATTTTGACTCTTTTTGAGCTGTTATCGGACATTGTCAGTTTTACATTTTTTTTGTTTTTTTTTCTTTGAATATCAATAAAGTTTTATCTGTTGGGCCAAAAAATGTAAAAATTGAATGCAAGGCTCTTGATATATTGTTACATTTTCAGTTGAAAAATATTTAAAATACATATGCACATTTTTTTTTTATAAGCATTTAAAGTTCCAATTTTGACAAAATTAATCATATTTAAAATTGAATAATTATTTTGTTGTTAAAATTTATAAAATGTTCAACTTTTATATCTAAGGATTGAACATTGAAAACAAGATTTCACGTAAGTAGTTAATTCTGTTACCAAAAAATCTAAAAAATTAATAAGCACAGTTCATTTTTATAGTAATTTTAAGTTCAAATTTGGACGAAATTACATATTAGAATAACCATTTAAGTTATTTTGTTGTAACTGTATAATATTATTCGTGGGTACTTGAAACTTCTAAAGTGTACTATTATATATCTATGATAGTATTACTGTTTGTTGTTGATGTATAACGCGTTATAAGTAATAACGACCTAATGGATATTGTGATATGATTAATTTGGAATTTATTATATTTACCTATTATAGCCTATAAGTCAATATTTTTTTAATAAAATATATATGTATATAATATGTCTTATACCTAGACTGACATACTATCTCCGCTCAGAATCGTTTTTCTTATACTATGATATTATATCTGAATGTCCGATGAAAATTCATTAATTTAAGACTGAAAATCTAATGTCAAAAAAATTTAAACTTCAGGCGCTCGTAAAAAACTATTGTGCATTTACACTATTTTTTAAAAATGTCCACTAACATCAACTTATGAGGAACCTTGTACTACATTTTCAATTATTTAGACTGAGCAAACATTGTTATATCGTTATTAAGTTTTATAAATATATTAAAATTTCTTTATGCCTAAAAATAACTCAAAAAGAGTCAAAATATTTTGAATGATGTATTGATGTTTAGAAAATGATATAATAAACAGATGGTGAAAATATAAAGCATAATAAATTAATAACAATCGTTCATATTAATAATAAAAAAGGTGCTCTGCTGTACAGTAGGTTAAAAGTGGGTAACTGTAACAGGTAAGCTTTCATATTCCATTTTTTTTTTAGTTTTTTTTCTAAAAATATCAATAAAATTTTATTTTTTAGTTAAAAAAGCTTGAGAATTTAATAGAAGGCTCCTAGTATATTGTTTCTAAGGCAGATGAAAAAAATTAAAAATCTTTAGTCACAATTTTTTTTTATAAGCATTTAAGATCAAATATTGACAAAATACGTCAAAATGACTAAAATTTGAAAATTAATTAGAGTTAGAAATTCATAAATCTAAGATTTGAAAACGTAATACAAGATTCCTCATAAGAATGTCTACAAGAAACTCAAATTAAATTTTTATGAGCATTTGAAATTCATATTTTTACCACATTTGATATTCACTCGATTTCTCATGTAACGATTTACTTATTTTGTTGTAATTAAAAAACGAATGACTGTAGATACTTGAAAATTTCACTGAAAGTTTATATTAGCATTTCCTATACACCATACAATTTTGAAAATATTTTGACTCTTCTTGAGCTGTTAACGGACATTGTTAGTTTTCAATTTTTTTAGTTTTTTTTTCAAAAAATATCAATAAAGTTTTATCTGTTGGGCCAAAAAGTGTTATTGTTACAATAACAGTTGAAAAATATTTAAAGTACATATGCACAATTTTTTTTTATAAGCATTTACAGATCAAATTTTGACGAAATTATATACCTAATAAAAAACCTAGAATAATTATTTTAGTTATTTTGTTGTGATTGTATAATATTATTTGTGGGTACTTGAAACTTATTCTAAAGTACACTATCATATATCTATGATAGTATCAGGGTTTGTTGTTGATGTACCTATAACGCGTTATAAGGATCTAATGGATAGTGATATGATTAATTTAGAATTTATTATAGGTAGGTACCACGATTAAAGATATACAGGTTGCACATCGCCCTATAGTAAACCGCTTCCAGACTGATTTACAAAGTGACTATAAAAATCAGCTGTTAATAATTAACTAGTAGCGCTTAATGTCAACACTCAACCATATGTGTCGACATTTAGAACTAATTTTACACCTATATATCTATAATTGGTTAATTGTAATACTGCCGCTTGGAGCGCCACTGGTTAATTATTGGTAGTCATTTCGTATTTCACCTTATCAGTAGTCGATGTGCAACCTGTATATCTTTAATCGTGGTAGGTACCTATTATAGGTCAATTTTTTTTTAATACCATAGATATGTATATATTATGTCTTAAACCTAGACTGACATACCGTCTCCGCCCAGAATCGTTTTTCTTATACAATGATATTATATCATTGAATTCAAGTTTAATACCAAGTGACCCACTTGTAACCTACTGTACAGCAGATCACTTTTTTTAGTTTTTTTTTTTTATAAATATCAATAAAATTTTATTTGTTGGGTAAAAAAGCGGGGCTCCTGATATATTGTTACAATAGCAGTTGAAAAGTATTAAAAATACTGCATAAGCATAATTTTTTTATAAGCATTTAAAGTACGAATTTTGACAAAATTTATCAAATTGAAATTTAATAACTATATTGTAGTTAAAAATCTATAAAATGTTCAACTTTTATATAGCTGAGGATTAAAATTTTAAAACAAGGTTCCATGTAAATAGTTTATATATAAATTATTTTATTCACAATAATATCATCAAATATACTTATTACTTAGTAATATCATAGGCTGACTGACCGTGTTCGCTCAGAATCGTTTTTCCTTTACAATGATAATTGATATTATATATTTATATTATTGAATTCAAATTTAACACCATCCATTACAGCGACCTACTTGTAACCTACTGTACAGCAGAGTGACATTAACTTACCCACCTTTTTTACATCTAAAGTGCATATTTTATTGCATTTTTTGACATTTTCAATGCTTTTCTAAGGTTTTATAGTGCGTTAAATTCACAGCCCTGCTGATAGTATATAATATAATATATTATATGTACATACATATGTATAGCATACACGAAATATTTTTGGGCGATGTTGGGTGGCGGTTGTTGGGAGGGTATACTCTATACAAAGCGGTGGTACAATGGCACACACGACTATGAAGAAAAGACTACCGACTATAGTGTTGCATTGTTGCCCGTTCGTATATCGGTATATCCAGTATAGGGTCCCTCCCTTTATAATCGAATGCCGCTGGAGGGAGATGCGCGTACACGGCACGCCATATAATATTATGTAACGGCCGCCGCCACATCGGACGCTTTGTGTAGAAATGCGTTTTGCAAAAGAAAATAAATACTCGGCAGCCATCGAGTAGTCGGGAACGAGTGTTCGCCCTTTTTTTTTCGGTACGTCATAACGAGCTAGTGGAGTTTAGCGTGCGAGTGTATAATATCATTATTGTTTCCTGTTGTAGTGTTGTAGAATTTGAAAAAAATAAATAATCTTGCAGTCATACATTTTTTCATTGAAGTCGTTTCGAATTTTTAATTATTTCTCCGCTACCCGTCTAATCACGTGATACGTTCGGGAATATACGTAAAAAAAAAAATAATTATCGAGACACATTAATGACCGTTGCCCTCGGGTCATTTGCACTCTGAGTCCTTGACACTTGATCGTTTCCGTTGCGTGCGTGCTTCCCGCCGTTTTTTCTCATTTTTCGTCGTGCTGTCATGACATTGTTCATTGTTGTGTCGGCGGCACATCATTGTGCTCTGCGACCGTCGTAAAATCAACTTGTTGTCCGCCGTCGTCATCGTCACCGCCACCGCTACCGCTACTACCACATCTACTTTACTACTACTTCAATTACTATTGGTATCGATTTTTGCAGCCATGTATTCGCAAATCAACACTATATTCAGTCAGGTAAGCGACGGAGTCATTTAGTCATTATAAGCCCCCGTATAGAGTGATCGGTATAGTGACGCCAGAGAAAAAATTTTTTTTGATCTATTGAAATGTATATTCACCCCCACCTGTACGTCAGATACGCATATTTATTTTTGTATAAAATATTAACCAGCCTTTAAACTCGTCATTAATATTTTTGTTGATATTTCGAGTTGTATACGTTATGGGTTTAAGATCATAACCCGACTGAATATGATTCGGCACCACTGGATTATCCCGCTTGACTCTGGCCCGTCCAACAACACTTACAATTTTTTTTATCATTTTATACAATCATCTAAAACCATCTGCGCGCCACCGCGACGCTGAGTTGTCAGTTAATCCACCTACCCCTCCTCACAAATGGAATTTTTACTTCTGTCACCACTACCCTCGCCATAATGTGTTCGTGTTATAACTCGCAAACGATAGCTGCAGCAATGTAGGGTTCTATGTGGCTTTACCTAAATCTAAAATCTAAATACCTAACTAAATAAAAACGTAACGCAAATAGTAAACCTAGCACACAGAGGAAACCTCAATTTGTTTTGTGATAATTATTATTTGTTATTATTAGCATTAATTATACATAGATAATAACTTTTATTTACAGTATATTATACATTTATACCTATTTATATCAATGTTATTAGTGTGTCTGTGTACCCATATTTATACCTATAGCTCAGACTGTTAGAACATATTATATTATTATATTGTCCGTAAATATCACAGCTATCTGGGCTCTGCTATAAGTATAATGTTTCCGAATACAACTGATCCGTGTCACTATTTTGTGTAGGTATTCACAATCCCCAAACGTACAACACCAATTACACCTTAATTGTAAGTACCTAGGTAACCAACCTAATTCCCGCGATAATGCCAATTTCAGTACTCGAGTGAGGCCGCGTTTTTCGTTTACGCAGTTGGCTTATACAGCTTTTCTTAGAAAAATTGTATTCCATACCTATAAGTAGGTACACTGCTTGAGTAATATATTATCTTATAAGAGGGTAGATATTCAATTTTTTTTTTCCTGTAAAATGTATTCATCTGAATATTTGATGCACAGGCGCACAGCCGTAGGCGTTGTTAATGTCCCTTAGTTTATAAGTTGTACGGCGATATTATTATGTTTATATTACTGTTTTTAGAATAGGTACCTACCTCAATAGATAGATCAAAGAAATGTACAATGTATATAATATATAATGTATATAATAATATTATTATAGAAAACCTAGTATGATATAAGTGATTAAATTATTGACCTTAGTGTATAATTTAAAGCTAAATGTTTTGATAATTATTAATATTTGGTACATAAGGATCAATTAAAAAAAATAGGTAGTTTAAAACAAATAATTCAATGAGTAAAGTATTATATTATATTATCTGTATTATTTACAGATGGCTGATAATATGTAGGTATATTATATTAATCCAATACGATTTATTTATAATCTGTATAGTCTGAAGTATACATAATATTAATTATTTTACAGTTCTCATTTTAAAAAACTCAGATATTTTTTTTTATTTAATATTTTCATGCTAGGAAAAAATATCTAGTCTAAGTATAGTATAGTCTCGGTAAAACGGCTATTTTGTGGCTGTACATTTAATAACAATTTTGTATTATTGAAGAATTTAAACATCGATTTAATTTTGAATTTTCAAATACACAATTAATTGATTACAAATGCATGTGAGTATGCATGAGTATGCATGTATCTCCAAATGTTTTGATATTAGTATATACCTATAAAAAGAAAATAGTAATAAACTAACAAATAAGCTTCGGTAGGTAATTTTTTTTAAAATAAAATTTTGTTTCACACAAATTCCCCTTTTTTCATTTTATTTTCAAAAAAGTAACGCAAATAAATAAATACACGTATCGTTTGTGTTACCTATAAAAATATGTTACTATGTGCAAATATAATGGTGTACCTATCATGTGTTTATAATTTGTAAAATAGACCCAACATAATTTTATTTTTAAATTGGGTGGCTCATAAGTATTAACCAATACCTACATTTCTGAATACTTTTCTTCACTAATAAAAATATATTAATGCTGTCAGTTAATTATGCTTAATCAAATTATGTATATTATATTAATTACCAATAATTTGAAGTTGATAAGATTATTTATGAATTATACTATTGTGTACAAAACCATAGCTATACTATTATATCTCTCTAGAGAGATTATATTCCTCTCGTAAGTCATACGAGAGTCTGAAAAGTCCTTTCGTTACTCATTAGTTATGAATTACGCAATTTACCATGAACGTTAAAAATTATAAACAAAATCCCCTTCGTAACATTATATCATATGAGTCAATAATTTTTTTTTTTATAACATTTCTGCACAAAAAATACAAAATCTTCCTACAGCATACAATTGTTACAATGTATTATTAACTATTTCTCAAATAAATTGTAACATAATACGATAAGCGCAAAGCAAGGCTTGTATTTGAAAAAAAAATGTATGTTATTTACAATTAAAACGTTACACAATTTTTGCGTTTATTGTTATTTAGAATAGTGTTAATACGTATTAAATGTATTACTAATACCTAAGTAATAAGTAACAACTAATAATGCGGGTAGTAATGGCCCGGATACGGAATATGATACAATCAATATTATAATGTCTGTAGGATGAAAAAAATGTTTCTACGAAACCAATATAACTATTAAATTAATAGATTTTAAATTATTTTGTTTTTCATTATTTTTCGTTCAATTAAATTCTATAAATTAGGTTTTGCGTTATGTTTTGTTTAATGATATTTATTGATATATAATATATTATGTTAATCATTATGATTTTTGTTATGCGGTATTTAATTATTTTTGTTTATCGCTTTCCGTTATACCTTTTTCTAAATTTCAATAGTTTTTTTTTTGTCAAATATAATATTATAATGTTTGCTAGCCCTAGCTTATAGTTATATGAAACTTAATGGTAAGAACATTATCTGTGGTCGTATGTTGGTTTTTTACGATAATTCAGTTTTAAAGTGATTTAATTTATACTATATTATATACGCATAACTTGCTAAAAAAATGAAATATCGTAAAACACCAACGTACAAACACAGATAATATACTTACCATCAACTATCAAGTTTCATAATAGGCTGATTCACTCTAGTTTTTAAACTAACGGCATAAAACGTGAACTGCTGAGCGTAAATTTGGTGTGTGACGCGTTTGTAAGTGGAGACACCTAATTCTGGTAGCGACGTACCGTTTCGATCGTCGTACGTATAAACTGATTCCTGGAGAAAAAACATTTATTTAAGCTATTAATCCAACAAAGCCGATATCGAATTGTCCACAAAGGCACTGTATTTTAGATTCTGAGCGGAGCGAGGGATCTAGTGATCTTACAATGTTGTTTATTTTCTTTTTTTTTTTATCCTGTATACAAAGTTTCTACCAGAAGGAGTGCTTGGATTTCAACATATAGTACCTTATCTTTTAGAAAATTGGATCAAGATGGTACTTTTTCAATTTTCTCAATAGTTATTTAATGCCACGAGAAAAACCATCCAAAAATTACAAAAAAATGCTATTTTAATTTCTAAAGTTATGTTTATCAAAATAGAAACGAATAAAAATAAAAATAAAATTAACAATTTTAGTTATTTTGTTGTAATTTATAATATTAATTCAACTAACAGGCTATAATAAAATATAATAACAATATAAAATATCCAGACTGACAAACCGTCTCCGCTCAGAATCGTTTTTCGTATACAATGATATGATATCATTGAATTCAAATTTAATACAATCCATTATACGGTGACCCACTTGTAACCCACTGTACAGCAGAGCGACTTCCACTTATCAGCTTTTTTTATATGTACAAATAATTTCAGTCATAAATTATGCATGGTGGGAAGTGGTTGTCACTCTTATGCCATACACTACAAACGAGAATGCGATTCATACAAAATAGATTCTACTACGAAACAATCGGTTTAGAAAATAATCCTTCAAGATCGCTTAATTATGCAAAAGCTGTAAACTCGATGATGGGAATGGCTGTTTCAAGTTTATTATTAGAAATAGAACCATTAAATAATAATATGAAAATGGTACTGAACTTGAAAATATCAAACTATTGAAATACAAATAATAGCGATGTGTTTTTTATTTAACAAGGATTATTAATAGAAATAGGGAGACGGACTGGCCGAGTGGACTAAGGGGTTGGTTGTGACGCGCACCGACGCCGGTTCAAAACCTCGGCCGCGGGTTGCATTTTTCTTCGGGCAAGTCACGGTGTCCGGAGAGAAGTGCCGCCATCCCAGCCGGCGCGGCAGATACAGAGGGCCCACTAAAAAAATCTGCCTAACTAACAAACACACGTGTTTAAACCTGGGCCCCCACAGTTACAAACCACCCAATGGCCTAAGTTGCCACGGGTTACTTAATAAAAAAAAAAAAAAAAAATAGAAACAAAATAAGAATTAAAAGAATAAAAAAAATATTCAATAAAATAGAACCTACCTATTCAATAATAACAATTATTTAAAAACTTTTATTCAAATACTTTAAATTTAAGCATCATTCTTCAAAAGTTCAAAAACTATTAAAGGCTAAAACTCTTAATATTTGAATAGTATATAATAAATATTATATACTATAATATTATATTATAGATATAATAAATATCTTAATATATAGAATATGGCAAATACTAAAAAAAAAAAATTAATTAAAATAATAATCTATCATTATTAAAGTTAGGACAATATAATAACTGTATAAAAAAAAAACATTTTTTATCGTTTTAATTGAGAAAAATAAATAATTTAAAAACGTAAGAAAGTTTGAAAATATAAATCAAATATAAAGTATGTATTTTAAACAAATAGCTCCATAAGTCAGGAAATTCTATATTTAGCCTCCGAATATTATAAAGATAAGCTATTGATAAAAAAAAA